CTTTTCTGTGTTGATTCTGGAAACAATTGTGATTTCAGGTTCTTGCAGCTGCACATATGAAGATGACGGTCTTCTGGGTTGTTGTACCATGTATTCTGATTGACGGTGACTAATGTTTCAGGTTATGGAGGCAGTGCGCACCTGTGAACTGCTGGTTATCTTCTATGAGACTACATGGCACAGTATCTCAGAAGACTGTCATCTGGAAAGAATTATCCTTTAACAGTTCCCATGTTAGAGAATTACAACACTTTTGTTCTATATTATTATTTAACTTAAAACTACAACGTTCACGTCTCATGTGTGATCCTATGTGGCAGGCAAAAGTTAAGCAGGTGAGAAATGTTTGTGTTGCACTGCTGAAGAAGCTGTAACCAAAGTTCATGGTGCAGTGATTACCACTTTTCATTTGTGTTTGGGAGGTTTTGAATTATATCCTGAAGCCCAGTTACACTGAGGTTTCTTCTGGCTTTTTTTTTTAGCCCTTTCAGGCAAATGTTAGTATGGTGAGAAAAGTCAGGCTGCATTTCCATATTGAATTCACTATCTCTTTGCAATATGATGTTTCATAGTCTTTCTAGTTAACAGACTTTCATTAAATTCAAGTTTGAAATGAAAATGAGAAGATATGACATTTCAGGACATTACTTTGGTGAGGCATGTAAGCACCTTTTATATGTCATGTAATTTCTAACTACATGATGCAACATCTCAGAAACTGTAAAATCAACTATTACTGTGTTGGACGAATGGGTGAATGAATGAACTGAAATATTGTTACCGACTGAGCTCATGGCCTTGGGTGGTTCCATTACCATGTTTTAATCTCAAAAGCTACCGCCAGATCGTAGTACAATGTACGTGTTGCCAACGTCAACATTAGTTAGCGATCAGTAAACCTCGGTCATGCTACTTATCCGTTCGGTTGGTGTTTACAGGGTTAGGGCAGTCAGCTTCCGTTTCTTGGATTTCGTGAGTGTGGTAGGTTGCTCGTGAATTAGTAAATAGATATAAAAACTTGTGCGTAAGCGACTGATGTCAAGACATATTTCCCAGAAATTTACAATTCTATGTGCTATAATATATAAAGATGTAATTCAGTGGCCATCAGAGGGTCAAACTGATCGTAGAATACTTTATGGAAGCTGTGCTATGTGAAATGTTGCCTTTACATTATTGAACCACAATGTTGAAGAATCATGTCTTCCGATTTGGAATGTTATTTAGATTGTCATTTCGTGGATGTAGATATTATTCCCAGAAATGTGCAATACAAGGTAATCAGGAAGTCAATGATCATGTTTCATTCATTCGGAATTTTGGATTGTTGGCACATATAGATGCTGGTAAGACAACTACCACAGAGCGGATGTTGTATTATGCCGGTTCTATTCGTAGTATGGGAGAAGTTCATCATGGAAACACGGTTACAGATTATATGGAAGAAGAACGACTTAGAGGAATTACTATCTCTTCAGTTGCAGTCACACTTTTGTGGGATAAACACAGATTTAATTTAGTAGATACACCAGGTCATATAGACTTCACTATGGAAGTGGAACAGACTCTTGGAATTCTGGATGGTGTTGTTGTAATTTTAGATGGTTCGGCAGGGGTAGAAGCCCAGACAATGACTGTCTGGAGACAGGCAGACAGGTATACTCTTCCCAGTATCATATATGTGAACAAGATGGATAGGAATGATGCCAATTTCTCTATGTGCCTTGATTCTATTCAGTTGAAGCTGGGCACTGTGCCATTGCCAATTCAGTTACCTGTTTATGAATCTCAAAATGGTTGCAGTTTTCAAGGTGTCATAGATCTAATCACAATGGAGAAATTGGTTTGGGACACCAATAAGCGAGGTCTAACATACAAACGAATTAGCTTGGATCCAGCAGAAGATGAGTTATGGAAAGAAGCAGCACATGCACGAACAAAACTGGTTGAACAAGTAGCTGATTTGGATGATCATCTAGCAGAAGTTGTCATTCGGCAGGAAAATTTGGAGTACGTGTCGTCTAATGAACTTGTGGAGTCCCTGAGGAGAGTAACTCTAGCAAAACTTGGTGTTCCAGTTGTTTGTGGCAGTTCATATAAAAATGTGGGTGTTCAGTCATTGATGGATGCAGTGACACATTTCTTGCCATCTCCCAATGAACATAATAAACATTTAGTCGCTTGTTTTGGATCAAACCTTTGTGCTAGGGCTTTCAAAGTAATTCATGATCATCAGAAAAGACCTGTAACATTTTTTCGAGTATTCTCAGGAAAATTTAGTAAGGGACAAAAAATTTATAACATCTCTCAAGAAAGGTCTGAACAGACTGGTAAACTGATGGTCGCATTTGCTGATGAAAGTGAGGAAGTGTCTGAGGTTTTATGTGGCAATATTGCTGCTATTACAGGTCTCAAAAACACTGTAGTAGGTGACTTGGTCACAACTAATGCAAGTGCAGCATCTGCAGCATGCAGAAAGTTGATGAAGCTTAAGGGCTCTGATGACAGTAGTGATATACATGACTTGTTTGGAGTAAGAACCAAAGTTCCTGATCCAGTGTTTTTCTGTTCAGTTGAGCCTCCTTCCAAGTCCTACCAACTTGCTTTGGAGCAGGCTCTTCAGGAACTGCAGAGAGAGGACCCCAGCTTTCGTGTGATTCAGAATGAAGATACAGGACAAACTGTTCTAGGAGGCATGGGGGAATTACACCTGGGAATCATCAAGAATCGTATTTTATCAGAGTATAAAATAGATGTGGAACTTGGGGATTTACAGATTGCATACAAAGAAACCATAGGAACTGTGGTAAAGGACACACATACAATAAGTCATAAGATAGGCTG